AGGTAGTTGAAGACTGCTATCAAATCCCCCCTCATTCGCCTCTAGTGGAGACTAAACAATCCCAGTTCTCTCAGCCTATCAGATTTCTTTTGGCCCAATCCTCTAATTTGTCTAGGTCCCTCTGTATCCGATCCCTACCCTCTAGTGTATCTACCACGCCTCCTAGTTTAGTGTCATCTGCCAGGATAGAGCTCTGTAGGGCCCCTGGCTAGTCCCGCACCTACCCAAAAGAGCTCTTTGTGTTTCAGCCATCCTCTCCATAGCACCAAAGAAGGCTGGATATGACTTCTTTCTGAATGTGCAGATGCTACTTGGTGCACCATGCCTCCTCCCAAGGGGTGAATGTGCTAACTCAGTGACTGCTGGCATGAGGAAGACTGGGGGACCCCTCTAGATGGCAAGTCAGCACAAGTGAACCACCTTGCACACCCCAGCTCCTTGTTGGTTTGTGCAAGGTGCTGTGATCTATTTCATGTGCTCTGCATTGGCCCTTGGATCTGTCACTGACAATACTTTTAACCATGTGTCTCAGTGCCAGGCTGCACGTTGTGCTATGCAAGAAGGGTGATTTATAAATGTAGATTGATTGCTGCAATTCCTAATGTAGTCCAGGAGTTGTGTGGGCAATTGACGGTAAGATCAGCTCACAGATCTATGAAACTTTCAAGGAAAAATTGAAGAAACCACTTGTGGTTTGGCTAATGTATATTTGGGAGGATGATTTTTTTCTGCAATAGATTTCTTTTGCATTCCTAGTCTGCAGCACTTTATCCATTCTCTGCAGCATGACAGAGATAGAAAGTGAGTGATTTATGCTCCGAGAACTCAATAGGCACTTGCTTTCAAACTGTGCTGTGTATTTAATTTTGTTTCGAGAGGATATTGTATGTTAAAAACACACTCCTGTATTTAACAAGGAAAGCAGACATATGAACCACTACACCAACACGCTGTCAGTGTTTAACAAAGAAATGACTACAGATAATTAATCAGAGGTGCAGTGTGCCTGAGATAATGATCATGTAGGCGCTTTCATTTCTGCTTTTCCTAATTTATTAACATTCTAACTGTGCAGCTTCTAAGTTGCATCAGTATTGGTTTTGCATGTGATGGATCAGTCACTCTGGGAGAAATTACACTTGGCCTTGCATAGTAATTGGGCCTTATGTGAGGGGTCATGACTATGGAATTCACTTCTATGCCCAAGGCAAGCAGCAGACACCTTCTACAGCCACTAGGTGCCTGGCTTCTTCCCCTTTGCACCTCCCCCATAGGGGTCCGGGGCCACTTGGTTTGCCTAGGGATGGATTCTCCTGGTCCTTCCCCATGTCATCCGCAATGGCTTCCTCCATATTAGCCTAACAGGATTTGGTGCTGAGATGCACCCGCCCCCACCTGCAACACACAGGGAGATGGAGCTGCAGCTGTGTCCCCCTGCACAGCCCCACCTCAGAATGTCACTAGTGCAGAGGGCATGGCATAGGGTCTCCACACCTGGTGAATTTCCTCCTGAGTTTGTGTTCACACTGTACGGGAGGGTGGTGATGGGGTGCACTGCAAAGAAGTGAACCCTACGTTCCAGTTACATGAGAGTAAGCACTAGGGCCCTACTGGGGCACATAGGCAATGGGAGTTTGTCTGAGAAAGTCAAACATGAGTAAGAACACCAGGATTTCACCCCACAATGCAGGGCTGCGATCTATGGCTGCAGGGCCAGCTCTAGGCACCAGCAAAACAAGCTGGTGCTTGGGGCGGCACATTTTTAGGGGCGGCATGGCCGGCGCCAGAATGCCGCCCCTAAAAAT